CGGTCCAGTAGGACGTGGCTCATCATGTTGACATCATTCAATTCTTTTTTCTATTTTTACTTTTATTTATATTTTGAATGCATATATTTCAAAAACTTCCAAAAAAATGTTCATGTCGATGAAGAAATATTCATGCGTTTAAAAAATAAATATATGCAATTTTTTAAATGTGTATACAATTTTATAAAATATTTGTGTAATGTAAAATGTTTTGTACCGTCAAAAAATGTATGTGACATTTTATGGAAAATATTCCCACATTTCAAAAAAATGTTCGTGACATTTGATAGAAAATAATCAAGTGTTTCCAATAAATATTGTTAAAAATTAATACAATGTAAATTTCTTTGTGTAGTTTAAAAGAATGTTTATTTCCATTAAAAAAGTACAACGTGTCTTTGGAAAATGTTAACGTGTATTCGAAGAAGTATTCAAAACATCTATTTAAAAAATGTGCACCATGCAATGAAGAATATCCAATGTGTATGAGAAAATTGTTTCACATGTGCTCTAGAAATATATTAGTGCACTGAAAAAAATATAGACATGTGTTAAAAAAGAAAACCGATAAAAACAACAAAGGAAAGCGAAAATAATCAAAGAAAACGAAGAAAACCCCCCAAAAAAAATCAAAGTATAACGAGTAAAGAAAGTAAATCCAAAAAACCAATGAGAAAACAAAGAAAACCAGAGTAAAATGAAGAGAAAAAAACCCAAGAAAATCGGTGAAAACAAATAAAATCCAAGAAAAAAATAAAAAAACGAAAAAGAAAAAACCCCAAGGAAAACCTGAGCAGAGCAAACCTACAGCGTGTAGCGAGCAACCGCGTTAATTGGCCGTCAGTTAGACATAGCCCGTAGGCGACTTGGAATCGGTATGGGATTCCTTAAGCAGAAAGAATCGACGAGCGACATATAACCCTGCGTGGCCATGGGTGAAAAAGGGTGCCGCGTTAGGATTTCAACTTTTGTCAAGGTCGAGCTAGCCCTACCTCATCTTCAATCGGAAAATCCCTCTTCGCCGCGCCGCCGCTGCCCTAAATTCCACCACGCAAATACCGGCAATGGCATCGTCGCAGAGGGCAATCACCACGACTTCATCGAGGTCCAGCCTAGGGTCCGCGCGGGGAGGGCACGCGTTCGAGATATCTGGGTACAGCCAGCACAAGGGCCTTGGCAAGGGGAATCCGTCCGCTCCGCCACCTTCACTGTCGACGGCTGCGAGTGGTCCATCGTCTTCTACCCCGACGGAGAAATGCATGAATACCAAGAATACGTCTCGGTGTTTCTTGAGCTACTGACGTTGGAGGCCGACGTAAGAGCCGACTTCGACATGATTCTGGTCGTCCCGTCGGACCGGGCCACCACCAAGTTGATCCATCGGGTGGCTCCCATGGTTTTCGGCCACATACAACCCGACTGGGGGCTTCCCCAGTTCATGAAGAGGGCAGTCTTGGAATCATCACCGTACCTGGAGGACGACCGCCTCGTGATCAAGTGCGAGGTCACTGTCGTCAGGCAACCACAGGTGGAGGAGACCGCGCCGGACTTCGAGGTCCAGGTGCCGCCCTCTGATCTGTACGACAATCTTGGGAAACTGTTACAATCAGGGGAGGAAGCCGTGTGGTTTTGTGTAGCTTGAGCTACGTGGTACCCCTTATCTTAGCCATCCATTTTTGCATCATGATCCGTGCAGGCACATTTGTCATTTTTGTTTCTCTCAAACGAAACAACGTATAAACTTCAGACTTTGCAAGACAACAAAACATTCTAATTACTATGTGCGAAAAAACTTTCAGATTTTTTCATGCATTTAAGTGCAAAAATTATTATTTTTAATCAAAAAATCCTCGTTTTGTATATTTATGTCGGTCCAAAAAATCTGAAAGTTTTTTCACACATTGAAGTTCTAAATTTGGTTTGATCTGCAAAGTTTGAAGCCCATATGTTCTTTCATTTGAGAGAAACAAAAAAGAGAAATCTTCTTGCTGTAAGTTAGTTGACGAGTACGGATCTCAAAGCAATGTTGGAGGGCTGGAGATAAGAGGTTCCGTGTAGCTTGACCTACAGAGAAACTTTACCCACAAGATTGTGCTTGCAATGCGGTCGCCGGTGTTCAAGGCGGAGCTTTATGGGCCGATGAGCGACAAAAGAACACGGAGGATAACCGTCAAGGATATGCAGCCTGCTGTATTCAAGGCGTTGCTTCAGTTTATCTACACTTATTCCTTGCCTTCCATGCTTGACCTCTGCGACAATGACCAGAAAGAAATGGTCAAGCATTTGCTTGTGGCTGCAGATAAGTATGCCATGGAAAGACTGAAGCTAATCTGCGAAGGCATTCTTTGTAGGAATCTCGACGTTGATTCTATGGCGACGACATTAGCTCTGGCTGACCAGCATCATTGCGGCAACCTCAAAGAAGCTTGTGTCCAATTTCTCCTCACGGGGAGTAGAATGGATGCTGTGCTGGCAAGCAAAGGCTACACACACCTTAAAAGATCTTGTCCTTCTGTCATAGTTGATATCTTTGAGAGGGCAACTAAGTCTCGCAAGATTTTGTAAGTTCATGTTGGGTTATCTGGATGTAGTTATCTTACATATATGACTTGGTAGTATGTAGCCACCTGAAACCAACTCTCCTTATCCTCTTTTTTTCGAAAAGGGGGATCCCCGATCTCTGCATCAGAACGATGCATACGGCCATACTTATTAATAAGCAAATAGGTTCAACAAAAGTCGTCATGTCTCAAACAAAAGAATGAAAAATGCTCACAAAGGGCAGGAAAAGTTAAAAATAAAGCCACAACCGGATGGCATAAGAAAGGTAGGGAAACTAACACTACACCACAACACGATTGCAAGGACATAAAAACTGCCAGCAGAAGTCACTTATAAGGGCAGACAAACTGTCAGGAACGTTTTTCTCTCGGCAGATAGAACTGCCACAAGAACGGCTGCCGGGAATTGCAAACGCCGGCAGATAGAGATCTCCCGGCAGTTTGTATGCCGCCATGTTCAAAGTTCTCCCGGCAGTTTCTATTCTCCCGGCAGACAAATTCTCCTGGCAGTTAATAGCTTTCCCGGCAGATGATGTGCCACGGTTGCCAAATACCCCAATCTATAAGGCTATTGCACTCTAGTATTGTATTTATTTCACATTTAGATGCACACTGACAAGCCATTCATTAAAATAAAGTAAAAGGAATCTGCACATTTATATTATAAAATCTGATGATCAAAGTACATGGTTACAATGTATACAATTCACTGATTACACATGATGACTTGCATCATAATTTAGCATCTATAGTTTCAATACATCCAAGTTATACAGAATGTAACAAGCACAAAATGCAAAGCTTGTAAGGTCTTCTACGTGAGCTCAGAGCATATGGTTAGGGCAAGTTATCTTTGGCCAGTCTTCACGAACATTTCCAACCTGGACAAAGAGATACAATTGATTACAATACTCAAAGACAATCATGTGCACCGCTCCAACTTTTTAAGAAAGACATCTACATGAACGAAGAGAATTTCTCATCATATTTCCTTTCAAGGCATCAAGTAAATCATATAAAGCACTGATACGGCGATACGAGTAAGACGATGCCGGATATGGAAATTTCTAGAAACATCAACGCGTCAATATGGCAAGTATATATAAATAATTAATAAGATGACATATAATAAAGACAAACATAATAGAATGTGTAAGATGAGATCAAAATATTGCCCCATTGGTTGCCTCTGTACCTCTTTTCAAGTCCTCAACTCCTGATGGTGCTTCTAGCTTACCAAATATAAGTGATAGACTCCTCCGTGCAGCTATTTCTCTAAGTGATGGAAGGTATCAAGCACACAGTATAGTACTCCTCTAGTACGTACTATGGAAGCTAGCCAGCAGCCAAGCACACAGTGACCATACCTCACTCAGGGCTCGGGGGTGAGTAGGCATAACTCTGAGGCAATTACTTCCTTCAAGAGCTTATGTACTATTTAAGAGTAACAAATATACACCTAGTTAAGGCTGGTTATTTTACTTTCTACAGTGGAGCTCACTATGGTAGTACAATGTCCCATTTTTTTCTCGAGGGCTACATTTAACACCCTCCATTTAACATCAGAGATTCTGAACAAAAAATGATACAGTATGGGTACCATACTCATCTCAACATCATCAGATCATTCCTCGTTTCATACTGCACTGTATATGTTCCTTCCATGATTCCATCAAGCAGCTGAAAAAATAATGCTGGCGAAAACTGTGTTAGCATAAGGAAAATAATTGCACTTAACATTGCATATTATCCTGGAATAACTTGGCTTCTGCCACATCTACAGATGTAATGTGCTCAAAGCAAATTAAGAACTTTCAGTGTAAAAATCATTTACAAATAAGTGCTTAACTTGTGCACGCGATTTCTTGTATATTAACAACGGGGATTGCCCACATGAAGTGGATAAATGCTTAAAACATGTGTTTAGATTTCACACGCTTATTCCTGAAGCATTAAGCATTACAATATAGTGCCCAAATAGTGATGAGAGTTATTTATCTTGGAAAATTGTGAATTGTCACAAAGAGCAGAAAACATAAAATATGAAGACCGCAATCTCAACATAGTAAGAATAATTACAACAAAATTTAATAGTGGAAGGGCATACAAAGATTTATCTCCCGGCGGCAGCACTACAAGAAAGTTATATTCTGTATATGTAGATGGTTGGGTATAAAAGATGCATATGTATCACTTCTGGAGGAAGATGATTAAGGTGCAGGTAGAGATGGTCGGTCAATGGTCCTGAGGCTAAAGGATAGAAACAGCAAGTGATGTGGGAAGAACCAACAACACCAGATTATCACCTAAAGCATAATCGCATAAAACAAGAGAACTGAAACATACGTACACCACGTCCTTCTCTAATTTCCATAGTCAATTAGTCATAGATCTAGAAACAACATCACGAGATGCCAGATCATTGGCGGTAGGGGCATATCATTCCATGAACCTCTCAGCTTTGCTGTTCCTAAGAATACCACCTTCGCCCCGGGAACCTTAAAAATGAATGATGACATAGTAATGTAAGAAAATTTGGTTGATTGACTGAAATTTCGATACTAACTGGAGAAATGTGCAGTGCAAAAGCTATAGTTAATACACATGTGACTACAGTAGGATAAAAAAAGTTTTAGTTATGTAAAACCTTCGGTTATAAGGCATCCAGCACCGTAAATGCCTGTAGGATGGAACTGCACAAACTCAAGATCCTGCAAATTCAACAGATAGATATAACCATATCATCTTGAGAAGTAGCTAAGTCAGTGTGATTTAGTTCAGAAGACTAACCTGAAGGGGTAACCCAGCACGTGCAACCATAGCATTGTCATCACTAGTACATGTGTGAGGTGAAATAGCAGAGAAGTAACCTCTGCCATAACCATGTTGAGCTATAATACAAGACAGGGATAAGACAGGCAGTAAACTGAAAAGGAACAGTCAGTGGTTAAGACAGAGAGATTCTTACTCCTGTTGCTAAAATAGCATTTGTTGAAAGGAAACGATGAAGGGTACCATCCTCCATGTTGAGTGCAATTACCCCCTGACAGGCGCATCGAAAATAAGTATGCATTAATCAGCAGTGTCCTAAACATGCGGTGCAGAAAGCAAGCACTATTTATAGACCTAATTATATCCATTGAAAGGGCTCATTAGCTAGTAGGTTTTAACTATCATGTAAAAAATCTTGTCAACATTACAACAAGATCAGGTACACAAGACAATCTTAGCGGCACTAAAAAGATAATGGATTAATGACCTAATGCTTGTAGAATCTACAGCAACTGAACAAGCAAGGCAATTAAAAACCAAGGAAAAATAAGATCCAAGAAATATCCACATCAAGTCTAATAGAATGCAAAGAAAATTAATGCTAAAGGCAACAATCAAAGACTATTTTCCTTCAGTATGTCTACATCAAATTATAACCACATAAAAGTAGGCATATCTATTATTTATTACAAGTTAAATAATTGATTCCCAGAGAAGGGAAGAGACCCCCGAAACAAATCACTTTAGGTACATATGGCATTCCTTTACAAGTGAGAATGATTCTGAATTTCAGACAACCCATAAAAAATTACACATACACTAACCTGGCTGAAACAATTTGCAATTCCCGAGCACTTGGAATTTCTCAAAAAACCTACCACTACTAGACCCAGTCTCCAATCCTTTCACTAATAGCATCTGCATCAATTTGGTAGTAAAAAGAAAAAACAGCAATAAGAAGACAGTCTCGGTGGAAGGAGAGATGTAGCAGGGAGGGGAAATCTGGATTCGTACGGACAACTGGACAACGCCCACCATCAGTTCTCATCCAGCAGAGAAGGAGAGATTCACTACCTTGCTATGGAGAATCTCACCTAGATCGGGTTTCCATTGGCACGGATCTAAGCAGAGAGCAGGCACCGCGCTCGCAGTCAGCGGGAGAGGAAGCCGCGGCCAGGAGCCATCTCATGCTAGCCAGCGTGAAGGGCCGCGGAGAAGAGGAGCCCGATGCCGTGGTGGACCCTTGGACGGCACTGCTTCCTCTTGCGCTTGCCGTTGCCGCACATCACAATGGAGAAGGATTGGTGTTCGTCGTAGGATCTGTTGCTGGGGAGGAAGCTGACGTTGACCTTGACGCACCGGCGCCATCGACGTTTAGGTGGCTGTGCCGGAGGGAGGGAGGCTCCATCGACCTCATGCATCAGAGGCCTCTGGAGGGAGGAGACGCGACCTCTACGCACTGGCGCCATAGATCCAGATGCGGTCGCACAGGTCGGCTGAGGGGTGGTGGTGGCAGAAGGGGCGGTGTGGCGGCGGTGTCGGTCGAGGAGAAGGGATAAAGGAGGGTTCGATTTGGGGGAGAACAGGAAGGGGCGGCGGCGACGGCGGCGGTGGTATCGGTCGAAGAGGAGGGGTAAAGGAGGTTCGATTTGGGGGAGAACAGGTCGGGGCGGCGGCTGTAATTCTTTTGAGCAAAAATTTTGGTCTGTCGCGCACTCTCCAGCACCAGCACGCGTTTGGGCCTAATTATTTTTGTGGGCTCGTGCCACGGATAGGCCCGGCAGACAGTGGGCCGTAGTTTAGTTCTGCCGGCAGTTTTGATGACCTAAGATGGGCATATCATTGCCGGCAGTACATGCGCCCTTGCTGCTTAACTTCTACCGGCAGTTTATCCACCCTTGTGCATTTTTGCCGGCAGTTACCTGATCCCCGGCAGATGGTTTGCCCTTATTCTCATATTTCTCCCGGCAGTTAATTGCCCCCAATTTAGTGTTGTGGTGTAGTGTAATTGCCTATCCTATTACATGACTGCCATCCAAACCGGTTGAAAATAGTCCGAGCTACCACCTCCCATCAGATAGATCCAGTAACCAAACGCTTCTCTGGTTATCGGAGATCTTTTGGAAACTCTTCTATGTCTTGGATGTAATGATGAATCACCTTCCTGTTTTATAGCTTTTGCAAACTGTATGCTATATGCATATAGATCACCTGTTTCTCTAAGATTGATCTGGGCTAACAATACATTAGGTTTTACAATTTTGATCATAATTGTTCATTCCCTTTCGCAAAGCAGTTAATAATTACTTCTTTTTGTTGTGGAAGCGTGGGGCATTAGGTCGATTGCCTAAATGATGTTGGGATTATTAACCATAAAAGTTATGCCGTGCACAAGGTTTATATACTTTCGTCTTTTTGTTCATTATCATCTTTATTTATTTATAAGATCATGAACCGTATATAACTTGAGTAAACAAGTAATTTGTCTTACACCCCAAGTGACCATAGCCCAGAGATTCCCACAATGCCAAGATTTATTTATTGTTAGTATTTAGGCTCTTCGTACCTGTATATATACCAGAGAATGTGTTGTTATGAAATGAGCAAAATCATGGCCTCCTTTTTGGTGTGCAAAAATCTGAACAACCAACATATGATGGTGAACACTGAACAATATTAGATCATGGTGATTTGTGAATCAGGGCAGTCAGCCACTGTTAGTCATACAGCATGCTGTGCACACGTCAGTGGCATCTTTTCTGACTCCTAAGTCCCTAGGTGAGTAAAGTTATTTATTCTGAATATCCAATGTAGAAACATATACTCCTACCTCCTTTTGTATAAGCCTTTAATTATAGTAAGTAAATATAGTAAATAACTAAATCTGATACTCCTACATATATCTGTTTAGTCACTCGGCTCCACCTCTCTAATTATCCATAATCATCCCACAAGGCTACTAGCGGAAGGTGAGAGTTATGATGTTTTTCAGCTATAGGCTGTCTTATAACAACCATCCCATAAAGTATATATGTACTAATGCGATTTCCCATTCATTCTGAAGAGCATATTTACTGCTTCGAGATATCTTTCAGTTTGCATCACTTCAAAATAATGGGTAATTAGCCAGTTTGGTACCAATCAAAATTTACTATGGCCGCATCCACATTTTTTTAAATAACCCTGCGATACATTGTCGAAGGAAGATAACATGATAGCTCGCGATAAATTCTGAATTACCATCAACATAACAAATTTCCTTGCTATTGTGAAACATCTTGTTCTTAATTTTTCACTCTGCTTGTTCTTGGAGGTCATGCCATGTGTATTACTACAGATAAAGGCCCCACCTGTCATTTTTCACCTTTAAACAAATCCAAGTTTCTGAAATCACTGCTTGTTTCATACCTGGACCAATTTTTAGGCATCTATTGAAGAAGTAGGCTAACATAATGCTCAACTGACCTCTTGGAAGCTGTAATTTTGAATTAAGAATCATCGAAGTTATTTTCAACTTGAATTTCAGTTGTGAAATTATAGACATAGAATTGTGTGTGCAATCCTTTTTCTTGCTCATGAATCATTATCATAGGGTATGTACGGGAAGAAAAGTCAAGAGATCAAGCTAAAACTGATGGTACAAGATGGTAAGGATTTTGAACGAAGAGAACCTGTCAAGCAACTCAAATCGTGGTATGTTGATGTTGCTTATTAGTTATGCTTGCAGCTCTTTGTCAGTTTGGCTGGCTGGCTAAATCGCACGTGTCTTTTTTTTAGAAAAGGCCTTTTTTCCTTTCTAGAATACGCATAAGCATGTGTATCATCAATTAAGAAAGGAAAGGGCAAGCGCCCGTCCACATGGTTTTACAACATGCACGACACTGCAAGCAATTGGTCCACCACCTAAACAATCGCACGCGTCTTTAAGGTTGTCATTATTTTGTCATGTGGTGTTCTACACCAGATATCTTATGCAAGTATTTGTAGTTACGGTAAGCATATTGAAATTCTGCGGGTAATTTTCATTGAATAGGTGCATTCACTGTTATCTACCTTGCTTGGACCTCTGTGTATGTATGACGTGCGTGCGACGCTCACACACTACCCAAAAAGGCTTTCGCCTCGCTTTATAAATGAAGCAACCACCAAGCAAAGAGTAACAGACAATAATGGGACACACAACACACCTACACAACGCCACCGCAGACAGGGTCTAGCACTCACACACAGACACACAGAGACCCAAGTTCCGTTGTGGGCACGGCATAACAAACCCAACATAACACCAACATACACGAAACACCCCTAGACGGCGGAGGCGGCGGCGAGAAGATGACAAACTAATCTGGTTCTGGTGGTGGCAGGGGAAGCGGTGGAGTCAACCGGAGAGCCATCGCGCGAAGCTGGGTGATGATGGAGGTGATGGCGTCTCTCTCCCTGGGACGGCTAAGCGGCCGCCAGAGTTGCAAGTAACCAGACCATTTGAACAAAGCGTCAGTAGCACGACGAAGAGGGATACGCTGAATCACAAGTTTATTCCTAAC